CTTGGCTGGAAACAGATTTGGTGGGAGTTTGGATAAAGGCATCTTGCCAAAAAGGATGCTTTAACAGCTGTGCCCAAGTTGATCTTTAATGCAATTAATATATTTAATGAGATATATATATATATATATATATATATATATATAGATAGATAGATAGATAGATAGATAGATAGATAGATAGATAGATATAGATATATATAGATATATATATATAGATATATATATAGATATATAGATATATAGATATATAGATATAGATAGATATAGATAGATATAGATAGATATAGATATATATATATAGATATATATAGATATATATAGATATATATATACACACACACACACACACACACACACACACACACACACACACACACATATATACATATTAAAACCCAACAAGATAATTTAAATATCACAAAGTGTACTTTTTAAAACCTATATATACATCAGTGGTTCCCAAACTTTTTCAGTCCACCGCCCCCTTGGTACTACAAACTCATCCTCAGTGCCCCCCACCCAGGGTGGGTTCTACTTAACTTTATTACCGGTTTGCAGCAGGGTCGCTCGCGCATGCACGTGCTCTTCTGCACATGCGCAGTAGCGTTTTGGTGATGTCGGGGTCGGTGGGCGGGGCCTCTTGCCAGTTTTACTACTGGTTCTATAGAACAGGTGGGAACTGGGGCAACCCACCACTGCCCCCACCTCTACAAATAGCATTGTTCGGAATAGCAGTTTGCACGACCCACTAAGGAAGATAGTAACAGTAAAATACACAGAATACAGCCATTTTTGGACTCCTGAAGACTTGCTCCGCATGTCCCGTTTTTGTGAAAAACGGACCCGTTTTTCGCAAAAACAGGGTGCGCAGAGCCTTTGGGAGGCCTGCAGGCTGCTCCAGTAGTACAGTGGTCTAAGGTGGTAGTACAGTGGTCTAAGGCACCTTGTTATTAAACTGGTTATTAAGACCAGCTGCCTGCAATTACTGCAAGTTCGAATCTCGCCAAGGCTCAAGGTTGACTCAGCCTTCCATCCTTTCTAAGGTAGGTAAATTGAGGACCCAGTTGTGGGGGCAATAAGCTGACTTTGTATAAAATATACAAAAGGATGAAGGCTATTGCTGAGCACATTGTAAGCCGCCCTGAGTCTCCGGAGAAGGGCGGCATATAAATCAAATTAAAAAAAAATAAAATACAAATCTATCCCTGTAACAAAAATAGCTAACACTATTAGTTAACACTAAAGAAATCCCCTGAATCAATCAACCTAGAGCAGTGATTCTCAGCTGGGGGTTCCTTTTGAATTTGCTGACCACCAGCAAGTGGCAGAAAGCAATTTCACAGAGGAGGGGATGGAGAGGGCTGTGGAATGAATTCACACCCATTCCCAGACCCCCTTGGGATCAACCTGCAGTCCTCCCCTGCCTCCTCAGGTGGTGGAGTGTGTGTGTGGGGGGATGCTTTTCAAGAAGTCACAAGGAGGGCTGAGCGCTGGTTTCTGTCCCACAAGTGAGATTTGGTCCAGAACCAACCCCAACAACAAGGTCTATTATTTGCTCCTTGTACTCCTTGTCTTTGCATTTTTGCATTAAGGTAATAAATTAAATTTCTGATGATGTAAAAATAGCTCATAACTCATCTTTCTAGAAGCTATTATCATGTCTAAAAGCAAGATACTCTTCTCCATCTTTTGTCTGGAGTACCATTTCAACACTTGAATTCTCTACACTTAAAATATCTAGAAATTATTATGGTTAAGTGAGTTTTGCCCCATTTTACCATTTTTCTTGCCATAGTTCAAATCAAAGTTCAAATCAAAGATTTGATAGTTCAAATCAAAGTTCAAATCAAAGATTTGATAGTTCAAATCAGAGATTTGATAGTTCAAATCAAAAATTTCTGAGACCAATGTTGAATACTTAAATTTCAGTAGTCACCAATCCCAGTCTTAAAATGAGTTTAGAATCAGTGGGAGTCACTGATAACAATGAACTACTAGCTACTGATAATGAGTCCAGTCCTGCCTTTCTTTTCCTTCTGTCCCAGTTTTGCAAGTACTTTTTCCAGGTATATGTTTTATTCCAAAGTATAGAAACCATTATTGTTAGGGAAAAAATGGGCCTTCCAAGCAATTTTAAAAGACACAGTCAGAATGACTTTGCTCTCAGCCCCCCTTGTGGCTCCTTGAAAAGCATCCCTCCCCCACATATGTAAATGAAAAGAATAAGCTTAAAAATCCTAGCCTTTTAAAATTGAAAATATGGAGAATTGGGAGGATGAATATGAGACACTAAAAGAGAAGTTTCAAAAAGTAAGGGAGGCATTTAAAGGAAATAAAGAAGCAGAGAATTGGTTAGCTTGCAAAAAAAAAAAGAAGAAAGAGAAAAGATGAATGAGAAGCAAGAGAAACAAGGAGATAATATTGAAAAGGAAATAATTGAAAAAAAGATAAAGATGATTACACTGGGTTCAATTCAAAAATGGATATGGGAAAATACATCTCAAATATGAAGAAAAGAGAAATAAATAAGATTGAGAATGAAAAGTAATAGAATTAAAATTAAAGGAAAAAGGCTGAAGGGGAGATATAAGAACAGGAAAAAGAAGAAGGTAAAGAAATGGGAGAAAGGGAGGAAAACATCAAGAAAGGGAATTGTGAAGAGACTAAGAGAAAATGATTAAGAATCAGTGAAAATGTTAATTTGTTAATAAAGAGAAGGATGCTAGTTGTAGAAATTATATATGAAAATGTTGTTAAATGAAAAATAGAACAATGTAATGTAAAAGAAAATGATATTGGAAGAAGCACTAAAAGGAGAGAATAAATTATAATATAAGAATTAATTGAATAAGATGGAATATGGAAATTAAATGTAAAACTGAATGAAATTGAAATGCAAAAAAAGGATTCAAATGATATACATAAGAAGTAAAGTAAAATATATATTGTTAAAAGTAAAAAGTCTAAGGATTGGAAGATTGTTTGAGTAAAGATTTAAAAGAAAAAATGGAATAAGATGAAATATACTGCTAATAATTAAAAAGATGAGGGGAAATTTTGAGAAATATACTTGATAAATGAAAGAAAGATCAGGATTGCCTGGACTCCATAGTGGAAAATATAAAAGAGAGATGAAGGAAGGAGAAGAGAGATGGAAGAAGGAAGGAGAGGGAGGAAGAGAGGAGGAGAAGGAGAAAGGAAGGGGAAGTAGGGAGGAGAAGAAGAAGGGGGGAAGAGAAAGTAAGAAGGAAAGAAAAGAGAGAGGTGGTAGGTTTGAGGAGAAAGATTGCTGTACAATAAAAAAGATGAAAGGGAAGAAAGGCAACCCCAAACAAATATAAAGATATTAAGATAAAGAATTAATTGTTAAACTTTAAAGAATAAGAGAGAACAAATATGAATAAATAACAATAATTAGAAACACACATACAAACATACAATGTATTTTCTTTGAACAGAGTATTTGGCCGGTTCACAAATTTAAACAGTGTTTAGTCATTTCAACTAAATTTACAATTTCTATATTTCCTTTTTGCCATATTTATTCCTCATCTATTTTTTTAAAAAAACCAATATTACCCTTCATCCTCATCTCTAATCTTAATCAAATTCAATTTTCCCTTCTATTCTATATTATAACCCTTCCCATTGTCATCTATTTTTATATCCATCCTCACATTGGTTAATTATGTAATATTACAGTTGTTTAATACAAATTCAACATTTTAATATAAATCAATTAGTTATATAACTATCTTTTTTGTATATTAATCAATATGAACATGAATATTCCAATTATTTCCATGCAATCCAATTCCTTACAAATCAATTAATTATATTTACCAATAATAATAAACCAAATAATTTCCCCATATATTCCTCCAAACCACAACTTAACCATTTCTGCTTTCAACACAATATACAATTAATAGTATCTCAATTATTACAATTTCCTAGTTAAATAGAGCTTTCCCCTTATGTTACTCATTTTCACATCTTAAACTCTCCCAATAACCCAAATAGTTTTGCCCATATAATCCTCCAAATCATAACTTAATCATTTCTACTTTCATCACAACATATAATTTAAAATATTTCAATCGTTACAATTTCCCTAATTAAATTTAAAAATGTTCTAGCTGTTATCCAAGCTACAACTTAATCCTTTTTACTTTCACCACCATATACCATTAAAGGTATTCCAATTGTTACAGTTTATACTTATTCATATTTCTGAAAAAAAGAAAAACTTATCATCTAGATTTCAAAAATACAAAGACAAATATTCCAATTATTATTCATTTCATTTTTACAATCATGATTTCCCATTTATTTCTTACTACTATTCATATTTCAATTCTAAATATGTATAACATCTTTCTCTTTCATTTCTTTTTCTTTTTCTCCCTTCCCATTTTTGCCTTTTCCTTTCTCCTTTTTTTCTTTTGCGTTTTAAAATCTTGAACTCTCCTCTTTTGCCCTAAATTTCCCATTGCTTGCACCTACCTTTTTTGGTAAGGAAAAAGAAGAAAAAAAATCTGCCTCTGCCTAATTTTCCAATGTTGCAGCAAACAGCCAACAGCCTGCTTTACTTTTAGTTTCATTTTCAGCTTGATTAGCACAAAGAGAAAAAAAAATCTGCTCCAGCAATTTAGCTCTTTGCAGCAAGCGCAAAACAACTGAGAGCAAATCAGCTGAGAGTCGGGAGGCCGATCTAATCAATGAGCTAATTAGCCTCTGCTGAAGCTGAAAGGAGTTTTTTTTTCTTGCTGTTTGCTTGCAAGGAGGTAACTGCTGCGAGGCACAGGCCAAAGGGTGGGGGCACCCTCCTTGCCTCTTACCACCCCCCTAAGGCATCCCACCATCCCCCAGGGGGCAGTACCACCCACTTTGGGAACCACTGATATACATGATTATTAATATAAATTAATAAATTAATATAAAAAGTGTACTTTTATATTTATATTTATTTATATTATTTAATATAAATAACTTTTCACCTTTTCTGAGGATCCTTTTGAAATAAAGAGTCAAGCAGGTTAAGGAAGTCAGAAGAGGGTTTTAGAAGTGCTGATTCTGAAAAACAAATACATATTGTATTTCATCACAAAAAGGTGATTTTACTAAGTAAACCACAAACTTCTAAAAACAATGAATTATGAATACAATTTAAAAATTAATTCAAATATCTTTTTAATGAAGGAATCACTGGAATCTCACATTCAGCAGTTTAGGGAAATGTTTCAGTATCACAGTAATTCCTAACCTTTATTTCTAAAAAAGAGCCTTGGTACTACAGTGGTTTAAAGCACCCTGTTATTAACACAGCTGCCTGCAATTTACTGCTGGTTCGAATCTCTCCAAGGCTCAAGGTTGACTCAGCCTTTCTAAGGTAGGTTAAATGAGGACCCAGTTTGTGGGGGCAATAAGCTGACTTTGTATAAATATACAAAAGTATGAAGGCTATTGCTTAACGCACTGTAAGCCGCCCTGAGTCTCCGGAGAAGGGCGGCATATAAATCAAATTTAAAAAAAAAAAAAAATTGGAGGAGAAAAATGTACTGTGTTTCCCCGAAAATAAGACACACCCTGAAAAAAAGCCTTAGCTTGTTTTTTTGGGTGGGGCCTAATGTAAGCCCTACCCCAAAAATAAGCCCAGGGGGGCACAGCCACAGCCCAGCAGTCCCTTGGCGCAGCACAAGTACTGTTAATTCCGAGTGTGAAGGCAGAGGCAGGGGGAGAAGACAAGTGATCCGGACATGCTGCACGGCTGTCTGACTCATGGGAGATTTGCAGGAGACATGCACAGTGGCACCGGCAGCAGGCAGAGGCATGGGGGATGGGGGAGACAGGTGATCCAAATGCCCAGTGCAGGTGTTTGTTCAGCACAGCTGCAGGCGAGCCGAGAGACAGTGGAACAGAGTGAGCGGCAGGTTGGGATCGCCTCTGCCTGGCTCTGCTGTGCACTTTTTGCCCCAAGGGAGATGAAGCTTCATGTGCTTGTAAAGGGGACAGTTTGAAATGGAGTGATTAGGAAGCTTTGAGTCTCTGTCATTTCTCTGTCTGGGCGAAAAGTGTTTGGTTGCCTATTGGGTGCTCTTCCTGAGGGAGAAGAGTCCAATTTGAAGGATGTCAGCAAATACACACACAACCTGGCCAGTGAAAGATACAGTGATTGTTGAATATTTTCAGGGCAGCAAGAAGACTCAGGAAGGCCTCCGTTCCCCCTCCCCCCACACACACTTTTACACTTAGTGAAAAGTGAAAAGACATGCACAGGAATCAAGAGACTTTCTCTCTCTCTTCTCCCACCCCGTGCTATGCTGCTACGCGCTGATCAGAACAGGCCTTTTTTTTCTCCCTCCCTGATGCACAGGAGACACAACATAACAACACATGCTACACATTCAACCGATATATCTCACCGCTGCAGACAAACCTGGGTGCTTCCTTCCCAAGCCCGCATTCTCTCTCCCGAAGGATCCCCTTAAACAAAGCAGATTGAGCACTGGGATGAATTATCCCTGTCCGCCCCTCTCACCCGACACCCCAAATCTTTGTTGCGACACCCCTTTTACTCCCCTCCACGGCATTCCTGGGGAAGTTTCAAGAATTCCCTGGCCCTGGCTCACTAGCGGTGGGGCAGGACCCCACAAATTGCTCAACCCCCTTCACGGCTTATCAATCTATGGGAAACTGTGAATTGCCCTCATTTCCCAGCCACTTCAGTCTCCTTCCTGCCCCTTTCCACTTCCGATGCCCATCTAGAATTCGGAGGAGGGGAAGCAGAGCTTGGGCAGGGAAGGAGGGGTATAGAAGGTGAAGGCACCGTCTTCCTTCACTCGTTCTTTTGTTCCTCTTTCACACACTTAGGATTTTAGGAAAGATTCCCCCCACAACCGACCCACTCCTTGGCCACTTTCTTCAGATAACTTTCATTTCCTTCACTTGATATTTTTGGAGCAATTTGCTCTGTTCCCAAGCACTCGATAGGCGACCCAACACTTTTCACTCAGACAGAGAAATGATGGTGACTCAAAGCTTTGTGTGCTTCATGTGCTTCCAAAGGGAACAGTTTGAAACAGAGCGATTAGGTCCGTTTCAAAGCATCTCCTTTGCAAGCACATGAAGCTTCATCTCCCTCTGGGCAAAAAGTGTGCAGCAGAGCCAGGCAGAAGTAGAGGCGATCCCAGTGCACCGCCCACTTCATCCCACCATCTCTCAGCTTGCAAGCATGCCAAGGAAGAACCTGTATGGGGTGTTGGGATTGGCTGCCTCCCCCATTCCTCATGCCTGTGCCTGCTGCCAGTGCCACCGCACAAGGCTCCCGCAAACCTCCCATGAGTCAGGCAGCCACACAACATGTCCGGATCGCCCATCTTCTCCCCCCTCCGCCTCTGTTTCCATGCTCGGAATTAACGATATTTTGGCTGCAGCAAGAAGGCCGAAGCATGCCGACAGTTTGGTCCATTGCAGCCGGGGGCAAGCAGGACGGAGAGGGCAGGGCCAGTGGTAACTGCACTCTCACTTCCGTCAGCCCCTGCATTCGCCACCTCCTGCCCTTAAAAAAAAAAGACTTCCCCAAAAATAAGCCCAAATGCTTATTTTCAAGCCCAAAGAAAATAAGACTGGGTCTTATTTTTGGGGAAACCTGGTATGTAGCAGTCCCAGAAACATTTCATTGGTTTAGTGTAGACAGCAATAAAATCAATTTGCATTATTTTGAGAACATAATCATTTTTCATCTCTCATATTGATCTCACTAGATTTGACTAAAACAAATATTTGACATAGAGATATAAAAGCAAAACTATAATAGACTATTATAGTTTTATGTATTTTATGTATTATTTCATTTAAATTATATTCATGCTGCCACTTTTATATAACATTGTTTGATAAATACCCATTTCATCCTGAATTTGAAATATGTCTCTAATAGCCAATTGTTTTCCTTTCCACAGAATATTATCAGAGAAATAAATTACAGCTGGTATTTATTAGAGCTGGTATTTATTAGAGCTGTGGTAGTGCAGTGCTTAAATGCAATACTGCAGGCTACATCTGCTGAATGCTGGCTGCCTGCAATTTGGCAATTTGAATCTCACCAGGCTCAAGGTTGACTCAGCCTTCCATCCTTCTGAGGTAGGTAAAATGAGGACCCAGATTGTTGGGGGCAATATGCTGACTCTGTAAACTGCTTAGAGAGGGCTGTAAAGCACTGTGAAACAGTATATAAGTCTAAATGCTATTGCTATGCAATTTATTTTTCAAATACTTGTTACAACCAAATTTTTTCCTATATATTCTTCCCCAGCTGTTTTTTTGGCATATTAATTATTAATGTTACAAATGGCAGAACAGCAAAGCACAACCTTGTTAAAATAATAGGCTGGTATTATAGATTCGTCTAGAAATTATGTGAAATCAGAATTACTAAATTTAAATATTAGTCTTGTAATTTTTCATTTTTCTCATTTTCTTTTATTAGTCAATGGGAGCCAAGTCTATAGTTTTCCAACTGGCACCTGGTAGTTGAACTACCAAGTAAATCTACATAAGTATTTTATCAGAAGAAACTAATTTCCAGAGCAAGCAGGAATATGTACATTATAGGAGAAAAAAGTAGTTTCTGAAAAAAGAACAAAGCCAGAATAATTTTGGCCCACTTTTCATATTTTACCAAATTTAAATACATCATTTATCTAGGGCATTGAGTCAAAATACATTGCCTCTTTTGCAACTTTTATCCTATTGAGCACTAGAAATAACAAGCTGAGGTAGGAGGTAAAAGACAATCTCTTTTTCTTTGCTCTGGGTTTTTTGTTTAAAACCTGATGCTCTTGGGCCAATTTCCTAAAGGAAGAACAGACTATTTTTTGTATAATGGTATACAAAATGTTTTAGATTAAAAATAAAATGTTCCATTTCAATGCTGTGCGTGAATGCTATTTAAAATATTAAATGTGCTATTCCCGCTGTTATGGAAATTCTAGACAGAGCTGTCTTGATATTGAAACTTTAAGAAAAAGAGAAACACGTTGTTGCACACTTTAAGTAGCTGTATTACACTGAAAGCAGAGAATTTCAAACTTTTAAACAGTTCATATTCAAAATGTTTTTCACATCCTATTTCCTTCTCTTTTCCCTTCTCATGAATACAAAAAATTCAAGAGATGTAGATTTAATAACTTCCTTAATAAATGTTACCTGTCCGTTAGGACTTTAAAAAATTGTGATACTGTGCAAGAACTAAACATTCCAGGTGACCTCAAAATTTTCTCTATATAAAGAACCATACCTTTCTGTTTAGGTGGGGCAGGATCTTCATGTAAAATGTATTCTGTTAATTCAACAATATTTTTTGAATTGAAAGGAGGTCTTCCTATAAAACATACATTTGTAGCAGATTTCAGTAAAACTTAAAAAAAATGGAGCAACAAAAATCTTTAAAAGTTCATTTAAAAGCACACACCGACTGCATTCAGCATTTAAAATCACTGGAAAGTTGATACCATTACATAAGCTGACCTCTATCTGGGCATTACTGTATTTTTCAGAATATAAGACGCTCCGGACTATAAGACGCACCTACCTTCTTTGGGGAGGAAAACAAGATATACACTAGTGCATGGATATGGGAAATAATATGAAATTTTACCAGTTTGGAACTGTTTTAAGTTTTTTTCTTTGCACAGATCTATAAAGTTTTTCCCCCCTCTTTATTTTCCTTCAGGTAACATTTTAATTAAGTTAGTGAAATGCTTTTTAAATACCAGCTAATTGTTGATTCTAGACAGAAATTTTACAACAAAAGGACACAAAGAAGAAAATAAGACTCATAAACCACTCACAATAACTCTGCCTCTGCCTCCCAGCACAGCAAACAGTCTGTTTTAGTTTCATTTTCAGCACAGCTTGAAGAAGAAAAAAAAATCTGCCTCCCAGCAATTTGCCTGCTTGCAGGAGGCCCGCGTGGCAATAGGCAATGGCAAATCCCTGCAGCCTGAAACAGCTGAGAGTCGGGAGACCGATCCAACAGCTTCTGCTAATCAGGCTGTGCTGAAGCTGAAACGGGCTGTTTGCAGTTTGCAGTTTGCTGCTTGCTGCAAGGAGGTAAACTGCTGGGAGGCAGAGGCCAAAGGGTGGGGGCTGGCAGGTGGATGGGGCTACATTCAGTGTATATGACACACCCAAATTTTCACCGTCTTTTGTGGGGGGAAAGTGCATCTTATACTTCGAAAAATATGGTAATTTGCATGATCCCCCAGGGATCAAATACAAAAAAATGTAATGTAAAGCCAGATTTTGTTGTTCTTATATAAGAGCTCACAAAATTGCTCAACTCTCCAATTTTTTACCACTGTTACATTATCCTTTTAATTTGATTATTATTAGGGCTGAGGAGGAGAGCGGGTATCATTCTAATAACTCCAGGTACGCCCATGCATCTAGGATAAAAACAATTTTAAATACATCAAAATCAGTGCCTTCTGATAATGTCTTGCATAGTAACATAATAAAACATTTATTATGTTCTACTTGGTAGTTCAACAGAAATGCAAATGGATTGCATTAGAAAACTCTAAGTACATTTGCTAAGGAGGGATTATTTACACACCTATAGCCAGAGCAACACGAGTTTATGACTACTGTATCACTGTTGATAAAAATATGAGAGACGATTTCACACAAAAGAGTTTAGAAGAAACCAAATAAATTAATTTTGCTTTAATGTGGAAAATGTTAATATGTTAATCCAGACAGGGTGGTCTTCTCCCTCTGTCCCCAACCCTGAAGTTAGTAATAATGATACCACTTTCTTTAGACCAGGGGTATCAAACTCAAGGCCCATGGGACAGATCCGGAGTGCTTAAATCCGGCCCACAGGGCCAGCCTGGAAATATCAAAGGACCAGCCCGCGGTGCCTCTGGTGGCTAAAACGGGCCATATGTGCCTGCCTGTGCCTCGTTTTCACCGTCCATGGCCTCCTGCAGAACTCTGCCAGCCACAAACGGCCCTGAAAATGGCCCTAAAATGGGAGCCGAAAACGGGTCACATGGGACCCATTTACGTTTTGGCCGGCAGGGTGCTGCAAGAGGCAACTGTCCCCTCTTATATTATGGTTTTCTATTTTAGTGCTTGAATTTTCTTTTGTGTTATTTTAATCTGCGTTATGGACGGGGAATTATATGGCCAGGATTTATTTGCAAAAAAACTCACATAAGGTCATGAAGACAGAACACATAAACTCCAGAACCCTAACTTCTACTAATATTTATGGTATTAATTAAAACTGTAATACTAATTATACAACTATGAATCTTGTAATACCTGAAAACATTTCATATAATAGGCAGCCCAAACACTGGCTACAGAAAAATCAGCTCCTTTAATCACTTCTGGTGCAGTGTATACCAATGAACCTGCAAAATAAAATTACGAACAATTTTTTGTTCTGATGTTATAAAGGACATCCATTCAAGACCCACATGCTTTCCCAATCCTATGCTTCTTAGAAATTCATGGAATGATTGCTAAGACTTAGTTCTAATGTTGAAATCAATCAATGTAAAATGTGTGACACTGTAAAACTGTCTTCATATACTCAATGTAAAGAAATACAGTAACATTTAATTATATTCAAGTGATGAACACAAATAATCAGCTGTATCTATATAGGAAAACATCCAAAGAGGAATATTTATCAATATTATTACTTTCAGTGAAGTAAACGGTCATTATTGAACTTGTCCCCACATCAGTTAATGAAAGATTATGATATATATTAATTAGAATTTAGCTGCTGCTGCATTTAAATGGTTCAATATATACCTCTAATTTTGCTTTTTAAATTGTCTTTTGTGCTTTCAGAAGTATTATCTCCTGGCTCTTCTGTGCCAATCAAAGCAAAAAAATCTTCTAGATTTTCACCTTCTGCTCTAGCCAAGCAAAAATTACTGTATTTTAAAGTGCCTGCTCCATCCAAGAGAATCTGTAAAGTTAAACACAAACTGAAGTACCAAATAGCAGCTTCTTGAATTAAAAAGCAATTATTTAATTATTTTCAGAAATCACGTATCAATGCAAATATATGTTCCCTTACCTTCCTAGGTGTGAGATCACAGAAAATAATTCCAAGCTCATGTATATGATGCAGTCCAGTAACCAAATCAATACCAAATTCTCTGATGACATTCTCAGGTAGATATTCATCTTGAGCAATTAAAATTTCTAATGACCCACCTAGGAATTATTTATGAATAGTCATTAAAAAACATCTCTAATTTCTATGAAAAAAATATAATTTTCAAAAATGAAAGGAGAAGGAGAAATCTGCTCAGGTTTTATTATGCATTGCCTGATGGAAAGAGGAATGGTGGCATCTTATTTAATAAATCTTACATAAAAATGTCCTTTCCTGTCTCCACCTAAATCTGTACTAGTTTAAGAACATTCCCTTTCTGCATTTCAAGTCAATGTCTATGCCTATCGTTAGTCTATTTAACAGTAGGTATGTCAGAATACAAATTTATTTAGAACATAAATTTATTTCAAGATAAGTGATAAAAATATTATCTAAAAATTCAGTAATTTCAAAATGACACAAGAAATAGGCATACAATATGGAGAGAGTTAAATCCAAAGAAAAACCAATATACATTCTATTCGAACAGATATCAATCATGGTCTAGATATGAATGCTGCCAGAAATGAGAACAAACGTCCAAGAGGTTGATATAGAAACGAACATATGGGCAGATCATAACCCAATAAAAATCAGGTGGAAGGGATAAAGGAAGAAACACTGAATCAAACTATACTAAAGGACAAGGAGTTTATACAAATAATGGAAAAAGAAATAGACTTCTTTTTAAAGAAAACAGAAAAGAAGAAATATCATTACAAAATGTTTGGGACACGGCTAAAGCATACATGCAAGGATTAGCCATAATACATATAGCAAGAAGAAACAAGAAAAAGAAACAACAGCAGAAAACACTACAAGAACAACTCAAAAAGCTGGAGATAGAATTGCAGAAAGATCTGCAAAAAAGTAATGTAAAAGAGAAAATGGAATTAACAAAACATAAATTTAATTTAATAGAAAAAGAAGAAATGGCACAAAAAATTAAAATGGCAAAACAAAACTTTTTTGAAAATGCAAATAAGCCAGGTAGATGGCTAGCATACAAGCTGAAAATAGAAAAAGAGAAGAAAATGATACATAAACTGATAGATGAGAAGGGGATCCTTCACCATCAAAATGAAGGTAAAAAGAAAATAATCCAGGAATTTTATGAGAAACTTTACACTCAAGAAAAAGTGTCAGAAGATATAATAAAACAATACTTAGAAAAGGCTGCATTATCTAAAATACCAGAAACAGTTAAATGAAAAAATAATAATGATGGAATTAACAGAAGCAATTACTAGGCAAAAAAGCAATAAAACACCTGGACCAGATGGGCTCCCGGCAGAACATTATAAACAACTACAAGATGTCTTATGCTTGTCAATGTTGGAGATCTATAATAACGTGTTGTTAAGGGCCAATCCTCCCAAAACATGGGCAGAAGCAAATATTACCTTAATACCAAAAGAAGACTTAGATTTACAGCAGATAAAAAACTATAGACCAGTACTACAAAATATATGCCTCAATATATTTTGAGAGACTAAAAATGTTCCTGAATGAATTTATACACCTGGACCAGAATGGTTTCTTACCCAAAAGACCAATTAAAAATAATATTAGAATCATCTTGAATACATTGGAATACTATGAAGTACACTCTGAAAAACAACTAGCGCTCTTAGATGCACAAAAAGCCTTTGATAATCTGAATTGGCAATTCATGATACTACAACTAAAATGTATTTGGTGAAATATTTATAAATATGATTAAGGCAATATATTCTAAACTATTTGTAATACTATCAAAAGTGATAGTAAATGGGATGACAGAGAATTTCAACATAAGTAAGGGTGCAAGAAAAGGATATCCTCTGTCCCCCCTATTATTTATACTAACTTTGGAAGCCTTGATTAGAAAGATCAGACAAGACCCAGAAATAAAAGGTATGGAAATAAAAAAAGAAAATTGCAAATTACAGGCGTTTGCGGACGATCTAGTATTTATACTAGAAGAACCACTAGAAATGCGATCTAAATTAATAAAAAAAATAGAAGATTTTGGTGAAGTAACAGGATTAAAAATAAATAAACAAAAGATTAAGATGCTGGTAAAGAATCTTACAAATAAACAGATAAATGAATTGATGGAAAAGATAGACATTCAGATAACTAAAAAAGTAAAATATTTAGGAATTTGGTTAACGGCGAGATGTGCAACCATTAAAGAAGATGATTATTTTAAATTAATACAACAAATAAAGATATACCTGGAAAAATGGAGAAACCTACAGCTGTCAATTGTTGGAAGAATAGTTACAATGAACATTTTGCCGAAGTTATTATTTCTGTTTCAAACAATTCCCATAAAACTAGAAAAAAAGTTTTTGAGGATTTAAACAAATGGAATTTAAAGTTTTTTTGTCAAGGGAAAAAAACAAGAATAAAACTGAAAATGCTACAAGAATCTAAAAATAAGGGGGGATTTGGGTTACCTGATTAGGAGTTGTACTACCAGGCCTCAGTGCTTACATGGGTGAAAGAATGGGTTAATTTAAGGAACAAAAAATATTGACTTTAGAAGGACATGATTTACAATTGGGGTGGCATGCATTTATGTGGTATGGGAAAAATAAAATGCATAGATATTTTCAGACATTATATTAGAAATGCTCTGCTTTTAGTATGGAAAAGAATTAAAGAGAAACATTACATGAAAATACTGATCTGGCTATCCACGATGGAAGCACTAATACATCCAAATGTTCTTGAACTGGAAAAAATGTGATATCAGCAGCGAGAATTGTGTATACACAAAACTGGAAAAATGAAAATATACCTATAGAGGAAAATGTAATAAAGAAAATACTAGAATGTGCTGAAATGGATAGATTAACATTGAAAATTAAGGACAAGGAGGAAACAGAATACTTTTTAACTTGGGAATTATTTTATCAATGGTTAGAAAATAGAAGCAGAAGTTAAAAATTTAGAATTAGGGAGGGTAAGTAAATAAAAACGAAGTAAATGTGTAATTAAATAATGAATATTGAATAAGGATAAGTAAACATGATTAATAGACTTGGACAATAATGGTTACAAATGTGATGGTTATATGATGTCTATAATGCTTGATATTATTAACTAATTATAGACAAAACCAAACAGTGTTTAATTAAATAACGGAAAATGTTTAATAAGGATATGTGAAGATTATAATGAATAGATTTTGAGAATAATAGTTATAGCTATTGTGTGTATAAGATTTATTATTTGTATTTAAAAGAGATTATACCCAGTCAGAACACTGCCATTGTGGATATGAAAATTTTATATATAATAAAGAAAATTGCATAATAAAAAATAATTTTAAAAAAGAACATAAATCCCTGAAACACGTTGAATCTTTTCTTTCTTGCCCTTAGTGATGATTAGAGGTGGGGCTTTGTTTACATCCAGACGAATTGCCAAAATGCAGGTAACACATGCACTTTCATAACCAGTGGAGGGAATGTAGATTGATGAGGCACCTCTGGTCAATTGTCATTTGAGATTCTTGGCTCCTAAACACTGTATTTTCCAGTGCTGTGGAGTCGGAGTCGGAGTCGAGGAGTCGGAGTAAATTTTGGGTACCTGGAGTCGGAGTCGGAAGTACAAAAAACTGAGGAGTCGGAAGTACAAAAAACTGAGGAGCCAGAGTCGAGGAGTTGGAGCCGGAGGAAATTTTGGGTACCTGGAGTCAGAGTCGGAGTCGGAAGTAAAAAAACTGAGGAGTCGGAGTCGGAACATTTATCTCCCGACTCCACAGCCCTGGTATTTTCATCCATAGCAATCATATTGGAGAGTTGGTATTTAGAAAAGTCAATGTCATAAACAAAGGACTTGAACGCAAATGCACATTTGGTAAGTTCAGTGCCTTCCAGCTTGAACAGTGTTGTTGAACATTTTAGAGACAGTTCATATCGCTGAAGGAAGCCATCCAGACAGTGTTGTGATGCTTTGAATTCTTCTGGGGATATTTCTAACTGTGGTGCCATTGCAAGGGCAAATGTTTGAATATCTGTCCTGCGCAAAACCAAAGCCTTTGCTCTCCTGTCAGCAATCCAGATGTTGTCTTCCAGTTCAGGAAATAATGGTTGCCAACCTGATCCAGACTTGCAATTCTTAGCATTTCCCTCGCGAACCTGTTGACTGTGGTTATCATACTCATTTTGGGGACCATAATGAGATCCAACTTCTTCTCTTTGTAGAAAGCAGTAAGATTCTTGCCCCAAGAGTCCTCCACAATTCCTTTCCTGAACTCAATGAAATAACTTTCTTTTTGCACTCATCTTGTCTGGGGTTCAAAATATAATTTCCTTTAAATCTACCATTAAATCAGGGGTTTCAAACTTAATTTCGTTGAAGGTTAGGTTTGGGGTGGGTGGCCTGGCTGCGGGGCCCTGAGGTAAGCCAGTGTGTGCATGAGGTAGCTCCATTACCCCCTCCCCACCTGCACTGCCTTGTCCTCTACCCCTGCCTCATGGGCGCAGCACTGACACATCGCTCGGCCTTCTGCTCCATTGCGGCTTCCTGCTCCATTGCTGGTAAGCAGAATTAGTGGGCAGTGGCCGCACCGAGTCTTGCAGAACAGGGCTGTCAGAGTCGCCGCGAGGTGAGGCAGTTGTCAGGGCATAGATGGCCTGGCTGTGGGAACCCTGAGTTAAGTATGTGCGGGGCACATGTGGCAGTTCCCCCGCCTCATGGCCGCAGCACCAATGCATCGCTCAACCTCCTGCTCTATTACAACCGTGAACAAGCAGAAGTCGGCTGGCAATCACATGGCTTCTGCTACAAATGGCTGCCGGTGCCACCACGAGGCAGTTGTCGGGGCGTGGATAGTTGGGTGCGAGGACCCTGAGGTAAGCCTGTGTGCTCATGGGGCAGCTCCACCCCCCATCTCACCTCATGTCAGTGGTATTGCAAGCAACCAGATGGAATGTGGGGGTAGCCGGCTGCACGCACTTAAGTAGGGCTTATATTGGGCACACATGCAGAAAACATGCTAGGGCTTATTTTTGGAATAGGTCTTATTTTCAGGGAAACATAGTAGAGAAAGGTCTTTTTCAGACAATGAAAGAATAATAATTCCAATGTATATTACTAATGGAGCATCTCCAGTAAATTTACCATTTTCCTAGTGGCAGCTTGCTTCATCTCAGATAAAGAATTTGGATTTAATTGAATATATATGAAATGATCTGCAGGTAGGTTGGTAAGTTGTTTAGAGTTTGATAGGTAAATATTAGTACCAGTGGTGGGATTCAACCGGTTCGCACCACTTCGGCTGAACCAGTTGTTAAATTGCTGGCTGGCCCAACCCACCCAGCCACTACCTATTGGCCCTGCATGCTTTGGCTGGTACCTTACAGTCACACCACGCAAAGGTGGGCTGCTGCTGGTTCACACCAGTTCGGATTCTGCACAGTTCAGCAAACCGGCAAATGCCACCACTGGCTGGCACTTACAGTTAAGCCCAATGAGACAAAGGAATTTACCTCCCCTTTCATTGGCTGCTGCTGTTGCTGCCTCAATCCCTGAAGAAGGAAGCTGCTGTGGCCCAGTCCAGGCCTAGGCCTTCTGGCCACATGGCCCCAGCCAAGTATTTTACTCAGAAGCTGGTGAATTTTTTTTTTTTTTAGATTTCACATTCTTACAGCTTCACCATCATCTGAACAAAACACTTTGGCTTCTCTGCCAGTGGGTCAGTCTCTTCTGGATTTCTGGAGATCTTCAAAAAATAAGTAATAAAATAAATGGCATGATTAACATTTCCACTATTATCAGTGGGAAGTAAAGGTAATTAAGTTAGCAAGAATGTAACCTATTAAGATTATGTTTAAAACTATAAAAGAACTATATGTTAAAAATGTCCCTGATTTCCAACTAAATCATTTATGTCCATCTGATTTTTGTAGCAAATTGTACATTTTTGTTTTAATAAAAGAAAAGTGAATATTCATTGAGAATCAGTTTCTTCAGAGTAGTTTCTCTCTCACCATCCTCTAAAGCTCTACTCCTTAACTGATTTTCTTAATAATTTGTCTATTTAGAACAACATAAAGGAAGCAGAAAAAAGGCAACAGAATTGCTAAAACAGCAAAATCCCTACAACTATATACAGACCCTTGAAACGGATTGAGGCTGAGAGAAGTGATAGGAGGCAGAGTGCGCCTCCCACCGGCTAGCTGGTCTTCGGGTCTCTGATGCACATGCATGTCTGTGCATGCGCATGTTTGCATATGTCAGTGCATGCACACACGCATGTCTGTGCAAGCACGTTTGCACGCGCACACCTTTTAGTTTGGGCATGTGCAAGCGCAGTTTGGCAACTCAGTGTCTAAAAGGTTCGCCATCACTGACCTCTTGTTTCAAATGGTTGTCCAATCACTTCCTAAAAATCTCCAGGGTCTACCATTGGCTTAGCAAACTGCTCAGGAAATACAAACTGAGAAAATGTGATGTAGTATAGGGAAGGATGGAAGCTATGTTCAGATTCACTCAAAATTATGTCTGATATAAGTGATCCACTGTTACAAAGAAAGGGAAAAAATAAGGATTTTCCTGAGCATGTGAAAGCTCTTAAATGAGTCATAGTTCTTTGTTTATACTCAAGATTGAAAGACCAACCATTTTAAGACTGAAAAGAATCAAATATTGTCCTATAACGATAGCATTTCTGAAATTGTTGAATGACTTTCCAAAACAACTCTGTCAAACTTTCCTTTGATTTTATGACGCTATGTTCAATTTTAATTATTATTCTTTTTTATATGGTGTAGAATTGTTTTCATAAATAAATAAGTAGTTCTATCATCCTCACCTGTGCATAATTCCACCACAAACCAGAGATGGTTGCTTGTTTCATACCATTCATAAAATGTTACTATGTTCTTATGTCTTATTTCATGAGTTAGACGTACCTGTAATAGATAAGCAACATTACAGTAAATAATTGAAAATGAGCTGATTGAAATAGTGTCAGATATTGAATATAGACTGATAAAGCCTTGGTTCATAATGTAGCATTTAACCAAGCTTGAAAAGAAAAAGAAAAGAAAAAGTGTGGATATTTGATATGGCAATATCAGGTGATTGTAGAACAAAAGACAAAGAATTGGAGATCACAAAGTGGCAAAATTTGAAAATCAAAATTGAAAGATTATGGCATAAATTGCCTATGGCGGTCCCAGTTGTTCTTGGCACACTGGGTGTCATGCCCAAAAATCTTGGACGTCACTTATAAAAACTGCACAATGACAAGATTTCCTTCTGTTAATTGCAAAAAAGGGTACACTTTTTGGATCTGCACATATACAACACCAATATATTATGATCCTAGGTTTTTGGGAAGAACTTACCTTATGAAGGACAACATTAGCTAAAGTACTGGCAGCTGTGAAACTTCATATTGTTGTGAACAGATTGCAGTAATATAATAGACATTAACAAAATCATCAATTGCAAAAGGCAACTTTATTTGAATCATCCTGTGATGATACCCTTTAATATTATTAAATAACATCTGCTTATCCCAGGTTCTTGGGAAGGTTTGCAGACAAAAGGGACAAAAATGGTAATTCCAGTCTAAGTATCTGGCTGAATGTATGATCATCCATAACAATAGAAATGTAGTATTACCATAAATTGAAATTACCATGGAATAGAAATTGGTTTTTTCCCCTATAACATACTTCAAGTTTCTATTTTGGATTAAAATTATCCTGTCTGACCAAAATTGCATAGAAAAGTCAGACTATTTTTTAAAAAACCAGCAAAACCTTTCCATAAAAATTATGATTAAAGTTTCTATCCTAAATTAGCTTTGTTTCATGATCAAGATCTCTTCATCAAATATATTTACATCATATAGTGGGAGAAACAAACATGTTTACAATAAACTCTTAATGTTTGTAAACGAAGATGTCTTCCAAAAATAACATATGTAATTCTTACCCAGTTTGTGATTTCAGCTCTTTTACATTTATCAGTACACAATATGGCCACAAAATTAATAGTTCCTTTTCTTCCTTTATAAACAATCGTCTTGTTCCCTCTTCCAATCTCTTCATATAAAATAAAGTTCTCCATAATGAAAACTATATGGCTTATATCAGTTTGGAAGCAGAGATTCTGTCAGAAAATGCCACCTTTAAAAGAAAAAACAACCTGGCTTAACATATTAAGAATTAATATCTAATTATGAATACATTATGGATGAAAGGTTACAGCTTAACAGCTGAATACATGCTTTGAATGCTGAAATTCTAAGAAATGCAGAAACATTGCCCCCAAACAATGAAAGCAACAACATATCACAATTCAACTTCCAAAACAAGAGAACTCAATGTCATTATAGCCATTTAATCGGGGGGGGGGGGATCCATCCTAATATATTTTAGGAAAGAATTTAGTTATTTTTGCCCAGCATATGCATCAATCTGGGTACTATGGCTTGTAAGCAATGACTGATGATATAGCATGTGTGAATTCAGCCAAATGAAGTTCATTCAATCTTCTACGATGAAAAGTATAGCAGATTTTTTGGAAACGCAATGCAGCCTTTTTTTTTAATCAATGGAAACCATGGAGATGCCACAACCAAGTACTGTAAAACCAGTTAAAGAAATACCCTGATAAATTTTTATTTTCCCTGTTGTATAACTGGGACAATTATAAGGAAAGAGACTCTCCTGTTTTTAATTTGGGGTTAAAATGAAGCAGAGAAATCTTCCAAAAAATACACATACTTCCCCTTCCTTCCAAAGCGTCCGTGGATACACAACACATATGTAGCGGAGAGGGGAGGGTGAGCTGAAGCGGCGGTAGCAACACTGGAGCTCTGCAGTAAATTCGGATTCCGGTGGCCTCCTCTGTTGCAGCTGACGAGACGTGGAAGTTCAAAGCTCTGGCTGCCTTTTGTTGCCGCCAAGGCCTTGAGGGAAGTTAGCTGGAGCTGCGGCGCTACCGAGGCTCTGCTTGAGGCCCCGAAATCGACGCGCGCAGCCCCAGCTGATTGGCACTGAGGGAAACTGCTGGCTAGGCAGCAGGTGACCGCAAGAGTGGGGTGAGACTGGGGCAGCGATGGATGCCGGAGCTCTGCTAGAGCCCTGGAGCGCAGCGCGCCCGGAAGAGAAAAGAGGAGGAGGCGGGGAGAGGTTATAAAAGGAAGAGGTTTCGGCGGGAAAGAAGACAGGCTTCTGTGGAGGAAGCCGGAGGAGAACTAGGGATGGAGAAAGCGATAGGGAGAGGAGAGGCTTATGTGGGGAGAGCCTAAGACCGAGAGGGAGAGAAGGGGATAGGTGAGGTTTCTGTGGGGCAAGCCTGAGGGAAAAGTAGAGAAAGGAATGAAAGGAGGAAGGGGAAAGAGAGAGTTTGGGTGAAAGGGAGGCAAGCAGAGGAATCAAGGAAGGAGCAGAGGCTGTGGAAGGAGAGACCTGAGTGACTCAGCTTCTGCTCTTTCCTTGATTCCTCTGGTTGCCTTTCTTTCACCCAAACTCTCTCTTTCCCCTTCCTCCTTTCATTCCTTTCTCTACCTTTCCCTCAGGCTTGCCCCACAGGAGAGGAAGAAAGGCCGACCAGCCACCTGACCACCACCCCTTAGGTGACTCACGTGCTGGGAGGAGACAGGTTACACATAACATGCATTCACAAAATGCAGAGAGAAGTACACTACAAATAGTCCTTGACTTATGACCACAATTGAGTCCAAAATTTCTGTTAAGTGAGACATTTGTTAAATGAGTTTTATCTCATTTTACGACCTACCTTGCCTCAATTGTAAAGTGAAACCCTGCAGTTGATAAGTTAATGTGAGATTTAAAATCCCAAAACTTTATACTCACAACTCCAAGACAAGTCTGGTTAACAAAATCAAAGATTTATTGGAGAAAAACATGAAAATAAAAAAGAAAAGCGGTTGCAAGCGCAGCCTCTTAGACTCTTCCCAAATGGATTGAGTTCAAAGAGCACAAAAAGCAGTTTTCAACCTATACATTTTATAAACCTTCACAATGCACATCACACCTAAGAAGCCCTCCCAACTCCCCCTTATTCTCTTAAATCATCCTTTAAGTTGTTTTACACTTTAAAGGGTCTTCTTGACAATTTCCGTCCATCCCCCGATGTTCCTGTCTACTGATAGCTTTTTGCCCAAGGCTTAAGTTCCTATTTCCTGGGGAGCTCTTAGCAAGTCATAAGGCATTGTCTCCACTCATTACCATTTGTGGTCACTTTACATAGTCAGAAAACAGCAGTCTCACACTGTGGTATTACATCTGTTACAATTTATAAAAGAATAACCTTTTATTTATTTCCTTTAGTTCCATCCTTTTTCTCTTCTACCTGAATTATTCTTTTATACTTTTCATAATTCATAATTCCCTAAGTTTTCTTTTTGTTCCTTTGGAAGCAAGTTTTTATATTCTGAATCTTCTTTCCCCAAGCCATTTTCCGTCCTTCATTATTAACATTGTTTCTTTCCTCCTGCTCTCTACTGAAGTTGTTATTAAAGTCATGCTCTTCATTGTTTGTTTTATTAACATTTGTGTGAGAGGAATCAAACATGGTAAAACATAATAGCCAAGAATGCTAATATTGCAAATTTTGCTAGTTCCTTCCAATTTGCTGTTTAAATAATCGTGCCCCATAATTAACCAATTTCCTCAGCTTCCGGGTCTCAGCCGCGCCCTTGCAGCCCATTATGTCACCCAAACGTCTTAAAGGCCCCTATCCCGGCCGCGAGGTGACCGTCCGCCTACTGAATCCTAACACCCCCTCCACCGTGTGTGTGCTGTTCATGCCCCCTCCCTCTCGCAGCCCATGATCGTGGTCTTCATAGCGCATGGAACCCCGCCTGGTGGGTTTTGTCATAGTGACGATTCCCCAAGGTGGCGAGCGGGGAACGGCTTGACAGGCGGCTCCCTCTACCAGGAGTCCTCCTGTAAAGAATAAAGAAAAGCGTTAGCACTGCCCTTACACCTTCACCCTCTAACGTTTCCTGGTTTGAGGGGATGTTTCTTGTGGTACTCTTTTCGTAATCTATCTGCATGTACATCCTCCATTGGGACCCAAGACGCCTCTTCCAATGGATAGCCTTTCCACTGAACTAAATATTTTAGCCTTCCCCTCTGTATTTTGGAATCCAGTAGGTTTATAATTTCATAGTGGTTCTTACTTGACGGGCCTGGGCGTTCTAGGGGATCATGTACCTCACTAACTGGTTTCAGCAGACTGCTGTGAAATACCGGGTATATCTTACCCAACAAATGAGGTAACTTTAATTCTACTGTTACCGGATTTATAACCTTGGTGATAGGGAACGGGCCAATGTATTTGGGACCCAATTTCCTACTGGGTATTTTTAGTTTGATGTACTTGGTGGACACATACACCTGTTCCCCCACCCGGAATGATTTATGACTCGCACGCTTTCTGTCGGCATACAGTTTGTATTTCGCTGCTTTATGTAACGCTTGCTTAACTGCTGGCCATAGACGCCCAATCCGAGCCCCCCACTCCCTCGGGGTAACCTGCTCTTGGTCTCGTGTCTCCAGTTATGGTATCGCAGCGAAGTCACGGCCGTACACTACCTGAAACGTTGTAACCCCAAGGCTTCGGTGTACCGCATTGTTATACGCTACTTCAGCGAACGGTATGAGATCTGACCAATCAGACTGTTGATAGGAAATATAACAACGAAGATATCTTTCTATCATTGCATTAGCCCTTTCTGCGGCTCCGTTGGTACTTGGGTGATAAGCTGAGCTCAACCCTTGAGACGACCCTATCAACGTGAGGAATTCACGCCAAAATCGCGCTGTGAATTGTACTCCTCTATCTGAAATAATCCGACTAGGAACTCCATGCAACCGGTATACATGATGTATGAACAATTGAGCTAGCTTTCTGGCTGATGGCAACCCCTTACACGGGACAAAATGGGCCTGTTTAGAGAACAGGTCAATTATCGTCCAGATGACAGTATGGCCCTTGCTATCAGGTAGGTCTACTATAAAATCCATCCCTATTTCGTCCCACGGTTTACTAGGGCTTGCCACCGATTGTAGTAGACCAAGTGGTTTGCCAGCTCTTGGTTTTGAGGTTGCGCACACTTTACAGCTCCTTACGTATTGTTCGACATCTTTACGCATGTGGGGCCACCAACACTGCCGATGGGAGAGATGCAGGGTCTTGAGGAAACCAAAGTGACCCGCTGTCTTGGTGTCATGGCATTTGGTTAGGACTGTTGTCCGTAATACAGTGGGTACGTATAGTTTCGTTCCCTTCCAGGCTAGGCCGTTCCGTATTGTGACCGATGTTTTGTTTTTCTCTATCCATGGATCGCTTTCTATTGCTTTTCATAACTCGTCCTTCCAGGTAGAGAATGTGGGTTTGCTGTTGAATTGAGGCATCCTCGACAATGCATCCGCTAGAAAATTCTTTCCTCCAGGTACATATTTCAGATGGAAATTAAACGGTTGGAAATACTGTGCCCAACGGACTTGTTTGGGTGACAATTCCCTCGGTGTTTGGAGCGCCTCCAAATTTTTATGGTCTGTCCAAACTTCGAATTTAATATCAACGCCTTCCAACAAATGCCGCCAGGTAAGTAATGCCCATCTGACTGCGAAAGCCTCTTTTCCCCATATAGCCCAGCCTCGTTCTGTAGGGTTAGCTTGCGGGACGTATATGCACAGGGACACAAAGTCCCATCCTTCGTCCTTTGTAGCAGTACAGCCCCGACCGCGACATCGCTCGCATCTGCTTGCACTATGAACTGTAGCAGGGGGTCTGGGTGTTTCAGGACAGGCTCTTGAGAAAACAATTTCTTCAACTCCTCAAACGCCTGTTGACACTCTGGTGTCCACAGTAACGGCTGTCCTGGTCTTACTTTGCCTACCACGTGTTTAGTCTTTAACAGGTCGGTTAAAGGTAGAGCTACCTGCGCAAAGGATGGGATAAATTGCCGAAAGAAGTTTGCAAAGCCAAGGAAGCTCTGCAGCTGCTTTCTGGTCTTGGGTGCTTGCCACTCCAATACGGCCGTTACCTTTTTCGGGTCCATTTCTATCCCCTTGCCCAATATACGATATCCCAGGTAATCTAACTTTGTGCGATGAAACTCACATTTAGACAATTTCACAAAGAGCCGGGCTTTTAACAGTTTGGCCAATACTTGTCTCACCAATCGCACATGTTCCTCCAGAGTGTTCGAGTAAATCAGGATATCGTCAAGATAGATGAGGACACCACGATACAAATGCTCATG